ACATGTGCGCTGCTGCAGTCTTTCTGCTGCTGCAGTCTTCAGGCGCTCTAACATAGTACAGTCATAGCCTTGGTACAGTCGTGTGTTAGCTCTCTGTACCCTATTCCAGTCTCCGCCTATAATATACTACCGTGTGTTAGCTTTCTGTGTCATTACTGCAGTCTCCGCCTGTTATACCTACAATACTGTGTGTTAGCTTTTTGTGCCTCATTGTAGTCTCCGTCTGTTATACAATACTGTGTGTTAGCTTTCTGTGCCTTATTGCAGTCCCTAAATGTCAAATAATTCCACCGTGTTAGCTTTCTGTGCCTTATTGCAGTCCCTCCCTGTTTACAATAGTACCGCTGTGTGTTAGCTTTCTGTGCCTTATTGCAGTCTATCCCTGTTTACAATAGTACCGCTGTGTTGTTAGCTTTCTGTGCCTTATTGCAGTCGCTCCTTGTTTACAATAGTACCGCCGTGTATTAGCTTTCTGTGCCCTTCTGCAGTCTATCCCTGTTTACAATAGTATCGCCGTGTGCTACCTTTCTGTGCCTTATTGCAGTCGCTCCCTGTTTACAATAGTACCGTCATGTGTTAGCTTTCTGTGTCTTATTGGAGTCTATCCCTGTTTACAATAGTACCGATAGTACCGCCGTGTGTTAGCTTTCTGTGGCTTATTGCAGTTTCCGTATGAGACTCCATCCACGGCAGTGCTACTTTCTACCGATTGCTGCAGTCTCTCTGACTATAAATCATCACAATAAAACGCCATTAAATATAGAATAGACATAGCAGCGTTGGCTCAGGCTGAGAGGCAATTTAACGCTTCGCTTGCACTGTTCCAATCATTCGGCACCTTGACCAGTATGAGAGCTGGGATCTGCACTGCTACATGTGACAGCAATGACAATACATCAGATTGAGAATCAGCACTGTTCCCTGCTTGAAAGCTGGGAGACTGCATTGCTTCATGTGAGAGTAGCACGACAAGTTGTGGTCGTATTGCCCGACACAGATAGAAAAATGTATATTTTTTTTTCTCTCTCTCTCTCTCTCTCTCTCTCTCTTTCTCTCTTTCTCTCTCTCTCTCTCTCTCTCTCTCTCTCTCTCCTTCTTTCTCTCTCTCTCTCTCTCTCTCTCTCATTCTCTCTCTCCCCTCTCTCTCTCTCTCTCTCTCTCTCTCTCTCTCTCTCTCTCTCCCCATGGGAAGGATATTCGCCGATGTCATTCCTCAGACGATCGTTTCAGATTATATATAGCACAGCCTTGCTAAATCGTTATTTCAATGATGACTGTCAGCCATGAGCACTGAGCAGTAGCACCAAACACTGGGAAATTATAACCCCATTGTGCTGGATGGGTTAGCTACATAAATAACCCAGAAAAGCCATACGATGACTTTGACGCACAGTTTCACTGAAAGCCCAGATCACTCGTGAAACTTGAGAGCCGAGCAGCAAGCAGGTGGCTATGATCCATCTGGCAGCCGCAACCATGACACCCTCGGTTGCCAGCTTGGCTAACATAAATCAAATCGCTTCCCACCTTTTCCCATAGTGACATTAACCCGAGCGTGTAAATTTAACATCGTGTGTAAATATACGTGCTGTGGGAAAACATGATTTTCACGGTACAGCTCCGGCCATAATATACACCTCGAGACGGCTGAAATTGATATTGATGACTAAGGTGGCGCCTAAATGACGTGTAACTAGGCCATTACATGCGTCAAGACATCAGCGGCTTTGGCCATTATCTTGGCTAATTGCTTTGCGTAGGGAAACTTACTTGATGAGTCATGTGCTTTTAGTTGATGAGGAATAGAGCAAGGTCATACGAAGGCTCGTGGCCTAGATTAAAGAAAAGTGCGCTCATACGAAACTGACTCATTTATTTTCTATTCATATGCTGACAGCTCAGTGTGTACCTATAGGAAGCCGTGTGAACGACACAGCCCCTCGTTGCTGCCCAGAGGCGCCTGTCTTACCCAGGGGCGGAGCTTCCTATACAGTTGGTGGGGCGGCTGCCCCACCAACTTGGTATTTTGCCCCACCAATAAGCGTTTTGCCCCACCAACTTTAACTGATTTCTAAGACTTTGTTGCTTTGCAAATTAATCTTTTTCGCATTGAAGAGCTTTGGAATGTTCACCTTTTAATCGGACATTGTGGGTTTGACGACTTTTTGCCCCACCAACTTCCCTGGAAAAGCTCCACCTCTGGTCTTACCCCTAACTGTTCTTCTTTTTCCATACATCGCGCAAAGTCTTTTGTAATTGAATGACAGACCAGGATGGTGAACGATGCACGCAGTGGCGGCGGAATAGGGGGTGCAGGGGGTGCAGCTGCACCCCCATCGAAAAACATGGGGGTGCAAACATATCTTTTTGCACCCCCAAAATCCGTACAAGGGGCCCGTCGCACCATCCAATACATTTCTCCTGAAAACCAGTGATCGGGAAACGAACACTGATGTGGAATCATCCGGGATGTCCAATTATGGTCAGGAACGCCCCATGCTAGTCTTTGGGGCCCCCACACCGGCTAGAAGTGTCCCGAGCCGCGTTTGGTGCTCCACGCGGCATCTGAGGGCCCCACGATGGCCTCAGAGGGCCCTTTTATGACGATCTCTGAGGGCTCCCACTTGAGGGCTTTGTCCCCTGGGGCCCTATAACGGTCACTAAGGGCCCTCATGACGACCGCTGAGGGTCCCACAGAGACTCCAGGGCCCCAAGGAGACTCCAGGGGCCACGCTGGCCTCTGAGGGCCCCTATGACGGCCTCTAAGGGCCCTTACGATGATCTCTGAGGGCTCTCACGACGAAATCTGTCCCCTGGGGCCCTATAACGACCACTAAGGGCCCTCAGGACGACCGCTGAGGGTCCTACAGGACTCCAGGGGCCCCACTGGCCTCTGAGGGCCTCTACGACGGTCTCTGAGGGCCCTTGTGACGGCCCTAGACCCAAATCAAGTCTGACGGCCCATTTGGCTTCAGACGACCCATAAAGACCCTCAATATGGCCAAGGACCCTCATGACGACCTCTGGTGATCCTCTCGAAGGCATCTAAAGGCCCTCACAACAACTTCTGAGAACCCCAGGACGGTCCCTGAGGGGCTGAGGGCCCTGACGACGACCTCTCTGGGCCCTCACGATGGTCTCTAAGACCCAGCGCAAGCTCCAAAGGCCCACACTGCCTGGCGTCTGAGGGCCCCACGACGGCCTCTGAGGGCCTCGACGCAGGCAGGCTCCAGGGGCCATGCTGACCTCTGAGGGCCCTCTTGACGGCTTCTAGGGCCTAACGAAGGTTTCAAGGGCCAACGCTGGCCTCTGAAGAACCCTACGACGGCCTCGGAGGGTCTCAACTCAACGCAGGCAGGTGCCAGGAGACATGCTGGCTTCTGAGGGCCCCGCAGAGTTCAGATTCAGAGGATCCAACGACCTTTGTGGACCTTACGAAATACGAAGGTCTCCGAGAGCTCACGCAGGCTCCTGGAATTCCACACTGATTCTCAGGCCCCATGTCGGCTTGTTGAGGCACTTTATCTGCTCTTGGTGCCCCGTCGCCGACCTCTGAGAGTCTCAATGTCAGAACTTATGGGGCCATGGGCCCTACACCGGCTTTTATGGCCCCTACATCGACTCTTGGGACTCATGACCCATGAAATGTGGGTCTAAGCGGCTTCTAAGAATCCCCATGCTGGTTCTAGTAGCCGCCAGCCGAATATTAGGTTAGGGCTCACACGCGAGCTCCTGGGACCCCGTGCATACCCCAGGGGTCTACCTGCCTCTAAGACCCCACACATACTTTTGGGGCTCAAACGCTTGCCCCTGAAGGCCCCACTGAGACCCCTTTCCTCTATTCAGTCCTCCATACCAGCTCTGTAGGCTAAACATCGGCTCCTGTGGCCTCCATCCCGGCTTTGGAGGGCCTCCATATACAGGCTTTTTTGGGGTCCGATGCCGGTTTCTGAGGGCCCTCAAAAGACTTTCGAGCCTATACTGCCTTCTGAAACCTTTCAGCAACTTTCAAGGGACTGACCCTGATCGGAGGGCTCATTCAGTCTGGGGAGTCATGTAGTTCTCTGGAGGAGTCTCTATGTGGTCGGTTTCCAAGGGGCTTCTAAACACGGTCTTCTTGGAACGGTCTCGTAGGGCCCTCAATGGTCCACTGCGGATCCAGAAAAAGTGGTTTGAGACGCTGCGGGTGGTGGCTAGACTAAAAGATTAGCCGATAAAAACTAGCTGCATTTGCTTCTTTTTGCTTTCATTATTTGAGACAGGTAGGTACACTGCAATTTCAAACCTTTTACAGAACTTGTGTGTATGGGGAGAGTTTTCCAAACTCTTCGTTTTTCATAAATAGTCAATAAAAATCACTAAAAAAAAAAACTGAAGGGGGCCCAAAACTTCCAGAGGGGCCCCTTGAGAAAACTTTGCACCCCCATCCAAAATTACCTTCCGCCGCCACTGGATGCACGAGAGGAAAAGATCACAGAAATAGTCTTTTTGTGACTGGTTCTGTCCTATATCATCGCATATTTACACAACGTTAATTCGACTTTCAGGTCCGCCCGATATATCGTAGAGATCCAAGAAAATAAGCAAAAATATATTGCCACCCAGATTCCGTCTAACAACATCCCCGCTTTCGTTGTACTACTCACATGACACATTCTCTTTTAGGTACTCTGTTTGCCGTGCATTGCCGATCAGTTGAACTCTGTTTTATTCTTTTCTATAGGTATTGTCTTGAGTTTGACATCTGTTGACTGTTCTTTACCGGTCTTTTGCGTCTTGTTGTGTTATGTCGGTCTTTGCCACAATACCTTGCCATTCTGCTGTCTTCCAAGTTCCAGGTCTTACATTTTCATATTGATTTTATGTAATTCCGCTCTATACCTTTCACCTGCCATTTTTTTAGTTGCTCAACCCAAAGAAGCATCCACAAATTGAAGCATAGATCGTATGGTAATTTCCTAGTTATACTCCTCTGACCGGTGTTTTTTGTTTATTTTCAGATCGCCAGCGCCGGCAGTCTCAATACGGGCCACCCCGTGCCTACAGCATCACCGAGGCCCCGACCCAAACCCCGCCCCCCGCTCCGCCCCTCCCCCCGACCTATTCCCCGGTCACAGTCGCGGGCACCGCCGCGGCTACGGCTTTGGGCGCGGCGAATAGCCGGCCGCAGGCGGCGCACAGACCAAAGCCACAGCCGCCGGCGTGGCAGGGTGGTTTCTACGCACGGGCGGATGGGAATCGAGCGGGTGGTTCGTTTGTAACTGAACGGAGTACTGCGCAGGCGCAGTTTGGATATAGCCAGCAGGGAGGTACTCAGCAAGCTGCCACTCAGCAGGGGGCCACTCAGCAGGGGGCCACTCAGCAAGGGACGACTCAGCCGATCTATGTGCAGCCTACCGTGGCTCAGCAGTCCGCGACTCAGCAGCAGACTCAATATGTTCAGCAGCAAACTCAGTCACAAACTCAGTACGTCCAGCCGCAAACTCAGTCGCAAACTCAGTACGTCCAGCAGCAAACTCAGCCGCAAACTCAGTCGCAAACTCAGCCGACACTCCCTCCAGAACCTATAACTCGTTACGACTCTACTTCTTCGTCACAGATTACAGAGGCGTCCACCGAGGTGACTCAAAGCTACGAGACGCAGCCTACAGCGGCCCCAGCTGAGACTACGGAGTATATTGAACCTGCCGCTGAGGTTATTGTAGGCTCTCAGCCTATAGGCTACGATACACAGCCTACGGGTTATGAACCTCAACCTATAGCTGAGGTGGCTGCGAGTGAGGAAACTGCAACGTATGATACACAGCCAACGCAAGATCCACAGTCCATAACGTACAACACACAACCACCAACTGACAGCTCCCAACCCACAACCTACAACACGCAACCTCCAACTTACAACCCCCAGCCCACAACCTACAACACGCAACCTCCTACTTACAACCCACAACCCACAACCTACAACACGCAACCTCCAACTTACGACCCCCAACCCGCAACCTACAACACGCAACCTCCAACTTACAATCCACAACCTACAACCTACAATACGCAACCACCAACTTACAACCCACAACCCACAACCTATAGGCCTCAACCCACCACAGCTCCTACAGAGCCCGAAACTTCAGCACCTACATACGCCCCACCCACTACCCAAGAAACGATGACGACTACTTATGGGCCGGTCCCAACAACGGTCGCTTCTGATGTGACGACTGAAGAGCCGGTTTATGTCCAAGAGACTACTACTACTGCTGCTGCCGCTGCTGTGTACGAGACAACTACAGCCACCCCCGAGGTCGCGTATACAACTGAAGGTGCTGAACCTACCTACCAACCTACCACTGAACCTACTTCTTCGCCTATATCTTCACGATATGCTCCAACTACCTCGGAACCTGCTGAAGACTACACCGAAACTTCTACTGAAGTTTCCACCGAAGCAGCCGCTGAAAATTCCACAGAAAACCCTGCCGAAATCCCTGCCGAAGAGCCCACGTCAAGTCGTCCTGCAACCACTAAAGGCTATTCCTCAACTTCATCCCGTGCTAAACCATCTCCTAGCCCCTCCACTCGGCCAAATAAGGAAGAGCGATATCGCCCGACCACATATCGCCCCAGTTATCGCCCGCCTGAAGAGACCGCGGCAGGCAGAGATCGGCCGTTCGGCCTGACTGGAGTGGGCGATAAATTCTTCGACGATGGATTTGAAGGTGAGACTTCAGGGTGTGTTTGAGGGTTGAAAGTTTTTAGGAAGGGGTGGGATGAGGGAGGGGGAGGAGGTGAGTCGTTATGAATCAGCGGGGTACAGTAGGTCTACAAAAATAAGTCCACGCACGCCGTATGCGGGTCACCAGTGGGCAGTTAGCGCCTGAGCGCTACTCGGGCGCTGAACAGGACTTATTTTGTAGACCTACTGTACACGAAGGAAGGTAGTTATTCGGGGCAGTTATGGTGGATGGAAAGTTGAGGGTTAGGTGCGAGAGGTAAACGACGCTACTGAAAGGCTCGAAGCGATTTAAAGTGATTCGAAAAGACTATTGAAGTGGGTTGATGTGGTTCAGAAAACAGAATAAGACATGGGATGTTAGAAGTCATGGGATTGGTTGTGGCAATTGGAGGAGCAAAAACGTTTAAACTCAGCACTACCTTACGCAAATGTCCCCCTAGAGAGGTAGCTCAGGTTGGGATTTTCAATAGAAAATCACAATTCTAAAGAATAGTGATTGTCTAATTGAAAAGTCCCAACCTTCGGATACAAACTCCAGTGAGACTTTGTGGGCTAATGATGAGCCCCGTACTACCAAAGTGCCTTGCTACAGTTACGAAAAAACCGCCCTGTATTTACGTTGATGGATTTTCTGAATATATTGCATTTAATGATGGAATATATTCACTCCCCGCTATCATAACCAATCTTACAGCTTACAATGACTGCATTACAGCTGTCCTGGAGACAGCGTCTAACCATCCTCCTCCCTCTTTTTTTTCCACAGACGAGTTCAACAGCAATATTCTGAGCCCACACCGGTACCAGTACCCTCCCCGGTACCACAGCCGTCCGCAGTACCCGGACCACCGCCAGAGGTACCCCGAGGTACACCCGTACCACCGGCCCTACCCGTACCACGGGCAAGAGTACAAAGATGAAGGGTACGGGCCGCACGAGACGGGGCATGGAAGACCAGGGAGGGGTGGTTTTATTAGGCCTTGGACGGTACCGAAGGTGATTCAGGAGGCGCTGAAGGATGGGCTACGACCCAGCTGGTAGGTAGCAGCAGCATCGCGAGCGGAGTGGTAGGTGGCGATAGTGTCACCCGTACTGTACGACAAACGTGGAAATTGTGGGTACTGCCGTGTAATGCGTAATGTTAAGTGTAGCTTCGAGGCTTTGAGCTTCGCATAATTGCGTAGAAACAACCGTCCGATTTTAGAACATACGAGAAGGTTATGATAGTTATAGCCAAGATATAGTATAGGACTCTAGCTAGTCACTCGATCGTACTGAACTGACCAATCTGTCCTGATGTTTTAATAATAAACTTTTTTACATTTTTACCCCTTGTCTGTGTCGACCATAACATCGTATCACGAGCATTGATGAACAGCACAATAAAATATGTGCAGAAAACACACCGTATGAAAGGGACATTAATCAGACACGTACAAAATATCACAGAACATTTCGTCAACCGTCAACTGCCAAGAAGTGAATAGCGTCGAGTGAAACTGAATGTGATGAAGTTGATCGCTCAACTTATGAAATGATGCGCTATTCTTTTGACAATTGATTTGTTTTAACCCGCGCCCGGCTGGGGGTCCTGGATTTCCACGCCCTGCTGGGGGGGGGGGGGTGTTTGAACACCCCCCTTGTAACTCGGCTCCTGGGCCACGTAGCGATACGCGGAAGGCGGCGTTCGAAAGAGCGTCAAAAATAATGACGAAATCACTCCGGTCAATTTTTTGGTCAGGTCAAAGGTCAGGTCACCAGAGGTCATTTAAGGCAAAATTTCGCCGATTTCCAGGTCTAATATCGAAAATTTCCAAGAAGCCAACGCATAACTCGGGAACCAATAGAGCTACAGCGCTGCGGAAAAGCGCATTCGATAGCCCTATTAACGCCCTTTCTGAGTAATTCTCTCAGATTTGACCTAACGTCAACGGTTTTGCCTGCAGGGGGCAAAAACTGCAAAAATAGCCGATTTTTTCGGAAACAGTTTTTCGGCAATAACTTTTGACCCTAGCCTTGTACGAGCTTACTTTTACCGGCATCGTGTTCCTCTCGTCTAGACGCATCGAATGAACTATAACTTGACCTTGAAAGGTCAATTTGAAAATTTGACCTCAGGTCAAGGTCATGACCTGACCGGAAAAGGTCATGTTGCATATCAGTCGATCCGTATCGTCGAGCTGAACACATCTAAGGCGTTTTCATCGCTCTAGCATGCCTCTATCAAAAGTTATTTGCGAAAAACTGTTAGATACCATTCGTGACCTAAGATGACCTCAGGGCATAAACAAGGGTCACGGACACCATTTTCATGTTCAGTGTGTCTAAACCACTTGTAATTCAGTGTTTGGGAGTGTTTATAATGTCTTTCGTCCAAAAGAGGCGCATTTCAATTTTCTCCCATTGACTTATAATGGGGAGGTCGCAAAATTGACCTGACCTTAGGTCACCGATATTAAAATTCCGAGATATACATTTTATAGATACTGTTACCCTTATCAATCGCTGAAAGTTTCAAAGCGATCGGTCACTCGGTGTAGCTATGACAGACATTGAAACTTTTTATGAGGTGAGGTCACTTCAAGTGACCTGGTGACCTGACCTTGAATGACCTTGGTCTGAAATTTTATCAACATGTGTAGAATTGATGTATGATAAGGTGTACCAAAAACGGCGGCGCGGAGCGCCGCCGTTTTTGAGATATTCGCGAAAAACCACAAGGGGGGGTGTTCAAACACCCCCCCCCCAGCAGGGCGCGGGTTAAGTATACGTCATTATCTGCCAGAATATAGGCACCTGTTCCGCTCCGTTAGTGTCCCGATTTAAAAAATAACTACCGACTGCTTAGATTGAGCTCTATTTGACGAAAGGAAAGGGCTCCAAAAACAAAACCTAGTACTTGCAGATTTATTTAGCGGACGTTTCTGGCTTACACATTAGTTAGGAACACATGAGTAAAACCATTTTGAGGATTATTATTGTCAAGCCTAACGACGTTACCTGTTACTTAGAAAACTCGAGGACCAACTCTAGCAAATTCGCAGCGGAAAACTGGGAGCACGAGGTGCCAACAACAAAACGATACAGGTTGATGCAACACAAATTAGACGGTGAAAACCTGAAAAATATAAAACCTAGGGAAACAATTCACGAAAAGACCAAAGTAGCAGTCAAATGTCTGAAGCACAAGACGACCTTTCTCATCTGGTAGACTTGTCAGTGAAATAGTGAACACTGGACTTTCTTATCGAAAAAAGAAACCGCAGCACATTAGGCAAATAACCAACGTGTTATCACGCAACTGGCGAATTATAATGAAAACCTTCCACATCACTCTAGGCGTGGAATTTTCTTTTCTCAACACCAAAGTCCGAACATTATGAACCATCTCCTATCAAACGAGCACGGAATAGCACGCAGCTTAGTACGCATTCACACACTTCCAAACACACTCACAGACCGATGACGTCATCCTGCACCAACCATTGACGTCACCTCATCAGTTGATGACGTCATCTCAGACAATGACGTCATACCGACAGAACGGTAGGTGCCAGTCGAGGATCATCCAATGCATCCCATCATTATTATACACAGGCAAGGAGAAAAGTGCGAAGAGTTTCCCTTTCCCGTGTGCCAAGCCCAGCTATTCCGTCACTCTGTCCCTCCTCCGTTACTCTCTCCTCCTCCGTAACTCTCTCCGCTACTCCGTAACTCTCTCCGCTACTCCGTCACTCTGTCCCTCCTCCGTTACTCTCTCCCTCTCCCCCTCTTGACACTCTCCCTGCTCCGTCACTCTCTCTCTCGCCCGCTCTGCCACCCCGGTTGTATGAGAGCCTTAACTAACCGCGATCCGCTGTTTGGTTTTGATCAGTTCACGGAGGTTGTTCTCTGATTCCTTCAGACTCTTTTCCAAGTACTGCTTGTTGGCCTGTAACGATATAGAATGAATTGTGGTCAGTTGAAATACCAAACAAGTTGAGCATAAACGCGTGATTTTACCGAAACAAATCAAAGATTGGATGCACGGATTGTAAATATCATATTATACACATGAGCTTTGAAGGCAAATTAGCAACCATTTCAGAACAAATTTTAGTGTTTTAATCATCATGGCAACTTTTCATACTCAAATTTTTATTATCACGACGACTTTTAATCTTTTTTGACGTTAGATACGTTAAAAATGTCACTGGCGAGATGCACTTTTCAAATATGCGCTATGGTATTCTTTCTCACCTCTAGTTTGGCGATTTTTTCCTTGTTGGTCGCCTGCTTTTTCTCCAGGTTTTTCCTCACGGTGGGTACATTGTTCAAGACAAACATCCTCCCCACGCCGTCATAGACCCGCGTGGTGTCAGGCATAGCCTGAGGGCACAGTCGGCTGTCAGTTAGAACCGAGCGCCGCGGGTTCGATCCTCGGCATCGTGAGGTTTGCAATTTTATGGCATCTCATGTTACTTACGGAATACGCAAACAATTGCATGATTTTTCGGCCAAAATCTATTAACGTGGCAGCATCTCACTTGCAAATTGCAACTCCTGCCATTTCTTACCGGGTTTCCACAGGACATTATTAATTTAGCCCACCACTCTCAGATTCCAGCAAATTGGCCCATGTCAGCTCATATGTCACCCAAATTACATCCTTTGAGTGATCTCTAACCTCACATTGTTTCATACCCCTCTCACTCTCTCACTAAGTCCATCCCTCCCTCTCACTCCCTTCTCACCTGAATCTCACGATCGGTGAGCGTGGCATGATCGATCTGCCGCTTCAGAGTAGCAATCTGCATGTCAGACAGCCGTATTGACTGGTTGGTGTTCTGCATCTTCTGCTGGAGCTCCAGGAACGCCTGCACGGAGGAACACGACACAAACATGCACGTGAGACACCAATAACCGGTGCTAGGTCAAGGGGTGTTCTGACACTCCCCTCCCCCTCACGGTGTTTTGGCAGATATATAAAAAACGGCGTTTTGGCAAACATCCTGTTCATGCATCTTAACCGCACATCTTGTGAAAATTTCAGACCCATGTCATTCAAGGTCAGGTCACCAGGTCAATGTCAAGTGACCTAACCTCAGAAAAGTTTGAATGCTCGTCATAGCTACACCGACTCAACGATTGCCTTGAAACTTTCGATTGATTAAAGTAGCAGTATGAACAAACTGCATATCTCGGAAATTTCAAAACGGTGACCTAAGGTCAGATCAATTTGCTGCATTGTAAATTAATCGGAGAAAATAGGAATACTCCTCTTTTAGACGAACGCATTCTAAACACTCAAACATCGGTTTACACCTTAACCCGCGCCCTGCTGGGGGTCCTGGATTTCCACGCCCTGCTGGGGGGGGGGGGTGTTTGAACACCCCCCCCCCCTTGTAACTCGGCTCCTGGGCCACGTAGCGATACGCGGAAGGCGGCGTTCGAAAGAGCGTAAAAAATAATGACGAAATCACTTCGGTCAATTTTTTGGTCAGGTCAAAGGTCAGGTCACCAGAGGTCATTGAAGGCAAAATTTCGCCGATTTCCAGGTCGAATGTCGAAAATTTCCAAGAAGCCAACGCATAACTCGGGAACCAATAGAGCTACAGCGCCGCGGAAAAGCGCATTCGATAGCCCTATTAACGCCCTTTCTGAGTAATTCTCTCAGATTTGACCTAACGTCAACGGTTTTGCCTGCAGGGGGCAAAAACTGCAAAAATAGCCGATTTTTTCGAAAACAGTTTTTCTGCAATAACTTTTGACCCAAGCCTTGTACGAGCTTACTTTTACCGGCATCGTGTTCCTCTCGTCAAGACGCATCGAATGAACTATAACTTGACCTTGAAAGGTCAACTTGAAAATTTGACCTCAGGTCAAGGTCATGACCTGACAGTGACCTAGATACCATTCGTGACCTAAGATGACCTCAGGGCATAAACAAGGGTCACGGACACCATTTTTAAGTTCAGTGTGTCTAAACCACTTGTAATTCGGTGTTTGGGAGTGTTTATAATGTCTTTCATCCAAAAGAGGCGCATTTCAATTTTCTCCCATTGACTTATAATGGGGAGGTCGCAAAATTGACCTGACCTTAGGTCATCGATATCAAAATTCTGAGATATACATTTTGTACATGCTATTGCTCTTAGCAATCGCTGAAAGTTTCAAAGCGATCGGTCACTCGGTGTAGCTATGACAGACATTGAAAGTTTTTATGAGGTGAGGTCACTTCAAGTGACCTGGTGACCTGACCTTGAATGACTTTGGTCTAAAATTTTCACAACATGTGTAGAATTGATGTATGATAAGGTGTACCAAAAACGGCGGCGCTCCGCGCCGCCGTTTTTGAGATATTCGCGAAAAACCACAGGGGGGGGGGGGTGTTCAAACACCCCCCCCCCCAGCAGGGCGCGGGTTAACTTGACACACTGAATCGGAAAAAGCACTCGTGACTCCTCCGTACGACCATGAGGTCATCTCAGGTCATAAAAGGTCCCCAGCATTTTACAATGACTTTTGACAGCACGTCTCGACGACAGAAACACGATGCACGCAAAATAATTGCACCGTGCGTTTTTTTTTTTTTTAAAGCCAAAAGCGGGGCTCGGCTGCGGAGCCGAGTCTAGTCGGTCAGAGTCGACAGTTCTGAGCGGCGTCGGAGTCGGAGTAGATTTTGAAACCGGAGCCAGAGTCGGAGTCACCGAAAATCCAACGACTCCGCAGCCCTGCAAGGCGTACGGTGTCGGAGTCAAAGCTGGAGTCTATTGGAGTCGACAGTGCTGCCCGGAGCCAGAGTCGGAGTTGGTTTTAAAAAAAGTCGAAGTCGGAGTCAGAGTCGCCGAAAATTCATCAACTCCACAACCCAGATGGCTGTTTACGGGCCCTGTGCGGTCGGACCGCACACAGCCTCGAAGCTCCGCCCACTGCGTCCCTACTTCAGCCTTCCGTCACCGCACACAGCGATCGCTGTGGCCGGTCGGGACTGGCCACAGCGGACCGTCCACCGCACGCAGCCGTGACGTCAGAACCGCCTACCCATCCCCTACCCCCACGCCTGCAGCACACACCGCACACACCGCACTCAGCAGTTTGCGGTGCCCGTGAACACCCCTCTGGTCAAAAGTTATTACCAAAACTTTTTGTAGAATGGCTATTTTTCCGAGTTTTTGGTCTTTGGGGCCTTAAGTGGTGAAAGAGGGTTTAAAGAGCTATCGAATGAGCTTTTCTGCTACGCTGTACCGGTATTGGTTCCAGAGTTATGCGCTGGTTAACAGTGCCCCAAAATTTGTCGATTTGGGCGGGAAATTACATCCAAATGAAAATCAGTTCCCACTCTCCTCTCCAGTTTTCAATTTTAATGTTCCACTTCCAATCCCACCAAGAAGGAGCGATTGTATGGATGGTTGCTTTGCATCCTACTATCTGCCACAATTGTAGACAAATTAATAGTTTTGATCATTTTCATTTCATTTGGAGGCCTTACCTGAGCAACAATTTTTCATGCCCATCCTCTTTTTGGTCAGCAATTTTCCCCTCTGACACCCAAGCAAAAATATAATTTTTGGACACTCCACTGGTACCTAAGTCACAAAATGTTTAAATAGGCAAAATTTTACCTTTAATGACTAATGGTGACCTGACCTTTGAACTTTGACCTGACCAAAAAATGGACAATGTATTTTTGTTGCAATGTTTATGCTCTTTCAAATGCTGCTTACCACATGCTGCAACGTGGATCAGGAGCCAAGTAAGAAGGTTTGTGTGTATGTGACCAAACATGCCCCGCCCAGTGTGGCTGGCGCCGAGCACTGGCCCAGCGTGGGCCGTGGGGTGATGGAGGTGTTCATTGGGGAGGGTTCTGTACTACCTGGGGGTCAGTTGAAGGCCATGCTCCCCTTTAATAATTGCAATTTGTTTGGCAGTGAAATATGAATAAAATAGCAGCTAGGTGGATTTTTCCAGAATATTACATCTAAATATCGAATACAGGGTGCTGTTAAGTAGTAATTTTTTATCAGCAGGTCGCGAGCATGCTGCTGTTTCTTGGCTCCTCATTGGTCGAATTCATGTGGTCTATTCATTCGACCAATGAGAGGCCAAGAAGCACCAGCAATAAATTTCTTATATGAGAAATCCAACAGCATGCTGCTAAAAAACAACAACCAAACAGAGCTCTGGAATCCATGAATAATGGAAAAAATCATGATAAGCAGATGACAGCACAATACCTTTACACAATCACATATAGGGTTTGTTCCTGTCGCTCTTCCAACCTCCTCCAAGCTCCTCTAACCTCCTCTCGTTTCAAAAATTTGTTCCCGTCACTCCTCCAAGCTCCTCCAAGCTCATCTTGATTTCACATCTCACCACCACTATTTGCCTCCTCCCTCATCCCAAACGAAAGTTGGTTTTTTGGAGGAGGCTCTGCTGAGACACATTTGGCGCACGTAATACGAATGTGAATTGTTTATAAATGAGATTTGAGGGAAGTGGAAATGATTTTAGTGATTGATGACGATTGAATTTCTTTAAATAGTAATGTTGGATATTAATCTATGGTTATTTTATCAGAAAGCGACTCGGTACTCTCTTAGCAGACGTCACCCCAATTGCCAGATCTAATGGCCAGTTGAAAAATCTAGAGACTTTTTGAAAAGTCTCTAAATAAATGGGCAGGAAAATCACCCCAGGGGTCAATTAGGGGGCGGGGAACACGAATATGACACTTATTTTGGTCTAACTCCCCTCCTTCATCCCTTAATCCTCCCTTAAAGGACGGGGCGCGTCAAAAGTGCCTCAAGGATTCGTCTGATCGCCAAAATAAGGGTCGCAATCGATTCCTCTCGTCAATATGTGGCCGCAGCCTCACATTCCAGATGTGTGCAGCGTATCCCTTATCCCTTAATCGTCCCTTTAAGGACGGGGCGCGTTAAAAGCGCCTGAAGGGTTCGTCTGATCGCCCCCCTCCCTCCTTATTTTGGCGATCAGACGAACCCTTGAGGCACTTTTGACGCGTCCCTTCCTTTAAGGGGCATTTAAGGGGTAAGGGACCGGTGCCACACATCTGGAACCCAACGCTGCGGCTAGATATTGACCTGAGGAATCGATTGCTATCCTTATTTTGGCGATCAGACGAACCCTTCAGGCACTTTTAACGCACCCCGTCCTTTAAGGGACGATTAAAGGATAAGGGATACGCTGCACACATCTGGAACGTGAGGCTGTGGCTAGATATCGACCCGAGGAATCGATTGCGACCCTTATTTTGGCGATCAGACGAGCCCTTGAGGCCCTTATGACGCGCCCCGTCCTTTCAGGGACGATTAAGGAATAAGGGATACGCTGCAGTCTGCACACATCTGGAAGCCGAAGCCACGGCTAGATATTGACCTGAGGAATCGATTGCGACCCTGATTTTGGCGATCAGACGAACCCTTGAAGCACTTTTAACGCGCCCCGTCCTTAAAGGGACGATTAAGGAATAAGGGATACGCTGCATTCTGCACACATCTTGAACGTGAGGCCACGGCTAGATATTGACCTGAGGAATCAATTGCTATCCATATTTTGGCGATCAGACGAACCCTTCAGGCACTTTAAACGCGCCCCGTCCTTTAAGGGATGATTAAGGGGTAAGGGATACGCTGCACACATCAGGAACGTGAGGCTGCGGCTAGATATCGACCCGAGGAATCGATTGCGACCCTTATTTTGGCGATCAGACGAGCCCTTGAGGCACTTCTGATGGGCCCCGTCCTTTAAGGGAGGATTAAGGGATGAAGGAGGGGAGTTAGGCCAAAATAAGTGTCAAATTCGTGTTCCCCGCCCCGTAATTGACCCCTGGGGTGATTTTCCTGCCCATTTAGAGACTTTTCAAGAAGTCTCTAGATTTTTCAACTGGCCATTAGATCTGGAAATTGGGGTGACGTCTGCTAAGAGAGTACCAGCGATTCTTATCTCTTGATTTATGTTTGCGTGCCATAAATCGCCGACCGTTACAGCCCGCAAACAGCTGATTTCCTCGCGAAAATGTTCCCGTGGCTCCTCTGAAACGGCTCTCCTCCAAGCTCATCTAACCTCATCTGAGATTTTTTGGAGGAGCGACGGGAACAGACCCATAGGTAACACACCTTTTTCAGCTCCATATCAGGTTCCTTAGCTGCACCAGACATATTTTCTGACTTAAACTTTGTGATTAGTGGCTTGTCAGACTGTTCCACCTCCAAGTCTTGTCCTCCTGAAACATAAGCAATGGATGTTAAGAGTCGCATTCACCAAAATCTCTTTAAGATTTGTGAAAATCTTGCACCAGATAACAAATGGATGCACAACTTAGAGTAGTTTGATTTATTCATATTCTTGTGAAGCGGAGTCAAAGAAGGTATTCCCAACGGTAGCTTTATGTTGATATGTCAGTTTCCATTAACAATCAAAGGCTCTAAATTAGCACATATTTTTAACTTATAACCCAACCAGAAATAACGGCAAATAGAGAACTCGGGGGTAGAAACAGGGGAACTCCAGAAATGAAAGCTTCCTTGAAAATAGATTTAAATTAAAAATAATACCCTGGCCAAGCAAAATCCACAAAATTTATGTATAGCATGTAGCATGTAGCAACTGAATGGAACGGTTCACATGTCGTCCATAGGCTTCATAAATAAAGGATTTAAAGTGCTACCATATCACCATTTGCAGAAAAGTTTCGCTCAGTCTCCAAGTTCGATCCTATATGAGATAGCTTCGTTCTGTCGCTTTCTAGGCCTTCAGGCAGGCAACCAGTCATTTTCAATCTTATCGAATCTAGATACTTTGCTTCATTCGCGCAGAGTTATCTGCAAAACTCTTTTAGTATTTGCGTTCATAAAAGTCGGGAAAAGTTGGAGTTTTCCTTCAAGACAGCCACCGTTGTCATGTGCTGTAAACTGCTCTTTATCTCATTGGCCCAGCTGCGCCATTACTGCCTAGATTAATTTGATAATTTTTTTCATCGCTAAAAATTTCCCCCCTTTAGGGCAAAACTGCTTTTTCTCCTTTCTTTTCGTTTTGATTAAATATATTTTAGAAATATTGTGGAATTTCGGAAATGATTAAAGACAAAAATTAACACGTTTCTGTAAAGGTATCGAGATTTCCAAGACATAAAAATATTTCTTAACAGTTTTGTTGCAAAGGAAGGAAGGGATTTCGTACTAAGTTCCTTCAATTTGGTGTAAGTGCTGACGCGTTCGTGTTGTTGTTGCCGGCGAATGTGCTGGCTGCTGCTGGCGTGTGATTACTTGTGGGCGTCGAACGTTATTTGAATTTATGTCAAAGATATTTCACATTTCTGCCTTTCACTGCTTGAGCTGATTAAAAGTAAGTTATGGACACTTAAACATAACTCGTTGATGCTAATACCAGATTTGTTACCTACTTTTGCTTCAGCTTCGATGAAAAATGTGGTCTAGCATATTTTTTCTTTTTGAATTTTCAATCAAGCTAAAACTTAAGCATTAATATTTAATGTTTTGTTGTATTTGTTGTGTTTGTGCCTGCCTCCATGTTGCTTCATGTTTGCTCTGAGATGAATAAACATTTTAAAAAGTGTACCTCATGATTTTAGTCATTGATGTTTTTTTTTTATTTTTTTTTATATAAATTTAGTCCGAATGATTGAATGGGTGGATTTGAGGAATCAGAGCCCGCACTAAGCATGGCTTGTTGTGCTGACCCTGACCCCACCACCCGATCGCGCAATTCCAGTTGTATGGCAGAATTTTGTCCGAACGTTTAACGTGCCCTCACGACTGGACACGGCCCCCTCCGCTCACTCACGTTACCTGGCTTCTGTGCGGCCCCTGCCACAGACACGCACGCCATTACACGTAGGAGCTAAATGTGGCCGCCCGCACCGGGGCTTGAACCGGACTCTCACTACCGGCCAATCGTCGAATTCCGGCGCTTTAATCCACTCGGCCACGGAGGGGACTGTTAATCAGCAATTGTTAATCAGCAATTTAACCATTTGAAGTTTAAACATGAGGTTTTGAACTGGAATAGCAGTTTTGTAGCTTGAGCTGAAAAGACTTGCACAAAACAGAAGCTTTTACTCCCCAACGATCATCCTAGACGAAGATATTCCATTTCTCATTTCGAAAAGAATGCCTTGCGCCTTGCGGAGGAATGAGTGTCTTGCTGAAGAATGCAGCCTGAGCCACATTATCATCAGCCATCTTTAATCAAAAAATGTTTGATTTTCTTTGCTGACCTTCTTTGGAGCATAACAGATCATAAATCCAAGTGCAAAAAAAAACTTTTGGGAAAGTGAACTATTCCCATTAATCATAACTTCACTATTGTTTTCTCTCCTGGTTTGCATCATTTAATATTTCTCACCAGCAATGAAAATGAATAACATGGATGCAAAGTTTGAGCAACAATATTGTATCATCCATCATTGTTTATTTTTAATGTTGCAAATATTGTTAATTGATAGTCACATGTTCAATTCACCTTTTGAAATAAAACTTGAATTCTACCATAATAACAAGATGCATACTCTAGCTCACATTCTGATGTAATGCATTCATTTGAATTTAATTGCTCCTTTGATCAGGTGATTATACTTAGGTGACTCTCCTGGTCCCTGGACACTAGGTGTCCAATACCAGCTTTTCTCTGCTCAAATGGCCTGTTTTCCCCATTCATTCATTGATTCATTCATGCACCTAATGCCTCAGCCTTCCATATTTTTTAGCAGTCCATAGTCTTATCTATGGTGTCAATCATTGTCCTCCAAGCCCTACTTGTCAGCTATATGTCCATATTCACTCAATCATTTTCCATTTATTAATTTATATTTCATTTACTTTTGCAATCCACCTGAGTTTGACTTTCCTGCATTCATTTATTCATTCACAGCCTTTTCTCGTGATCTAGTAGGCCCAACATCAGCTGTTATCATGTGTCTTGTGAAAGCAACTTTTCTCTTTTACTTTTCCCTCTCCCTCTTTTCACTTTTTCTTTATCTGGCTTTCCCTGTTCATTTTTCATTCATTTATTTGTGCATTCATTTACTCATTCATTGCTGCATTCATTCATACTAGTTTTACCAATTCCTTCTCTTACAAGTTACAATACAACAACCAGTCTTCATTCATCCCTTTACCCCTTGTTTATCATTATCTTTCCCACTTATCCACGCTCATTCCTTTATCTACAGCCTGCCCACCAAAAGCATTAGAGTATTTATTTATTCATTCATTCATCCACAGCTCAGCAAATCCACCATGATTGGTTTTCATTTATTTCTCACCATTTTTTCACTCATGTTATTTACCATTTCTTCATTCATTCATTCATGCATGCATGCATTCATTCATTCATTCATTCATTCATTCATTTTTTCATACTTATACATAGCTGGGCCTCACCACCGTCATGCATTCCTTTCATGTTTTCATTCATTCCTTCATTCACATCTTGTCCTGCCAATCAACACACTTTATTCAATCAATCATTAATCATTCATTTATTTATTCATTCATTTTTCATCCTTAGCTTGGCCCTCCTGCCATCATTCACTCATTCACTCATTGAATCATTCATACATTCATTCATTCATTCATTCATTCATTCATTCATTCATTCATAATTCATTCCTTCATTCATTCATTCTTTCATTCATTCATCCATAGGTCGGCCGCACCACCAGTATTACCATGAAGGTGAAGCAAACAGCGAACGGCCAACGCGCATTCATTCATTCATTCATTCATCCATTCACAGCTCGGCCGCACCACCGCTGTCACCATGAAGGTGAAGGAAGCAGAGCGGACGGCCAACGCGGCCTGGTCGCCCGCCCCTCTGCCAGACTTAATGCTGGCCGCGGGCACGGCGGCACAGCAGCTCGATGCTACGTTCTCGTCTTCTGCCCGGCTCGAGATTTTTGGTCTCGGGTTGGGAGATAGTACCCTGGAGATGCCCGTTTTGGCGAGTGTGGAAACGCCGTCTAGGTGAGAAGGGGAGAGGGAGGGAGTTTGGGAGAGGCAAGGGAGGGGAGTAATTGGGGAAGGCTTAGGAGGGACTTGAGTGCAATCTGGGATGGTGTTCTGTTTACACACTCGGTGACAGTTGATGCGGTACAGTTTTTATGCCAGTGTAAGGAAATGAGCAATGGTAATGTTTTAAAAACTTGAAGTTGTGAACAAGTTATGTGAATATAGCTACCTAGATGACTCGAATAGGGGAATAGAATTAAAAAGAAGCAAACAATAGCTAGCGAGGTTCTACTTTTTACTGCTGTCAGACTTAACACTTGAGAGAAACAGATGCGAATAGTGATCAAACTAGATGACCCTGACCAGCTAATAAGTACATATAGTGTATACTGTATAGTGTATTCTCAATAGGTACTTACCTACTCTCTCCCTCTCCCCCTTTCTCCCCCTACTCTCTCCACAGGTTCCACTGCGTGTCGTGGGGCGCCCACGGTCTCTCCACCGGTTCCCGTCCCGCCGGTATGATAGTGGGCGGCTCGGATGGTGGGAAGATCGCTCTATATGACGCCCGTAAGCTGCTGGATGGGCAGCCGGCACTACTGGAGACTACCAGCAGACATACGGGAGCTGTGCGGTCGCTGGATTTTAATCCGTTCCAGGTGAGGTTGGAGAGGGGGAGGGAGGGTTTGCGGGAGGGAGTAAAGGAGCGGAGGCTGTGTGATTTTTATGGGATAGTTGAGCGTGAGGTAAGGCTTACCAGCCGATGATCTTTGTTTCCAATAAATGGATGGAGCTGGGGTTTGGAGATTTAGTGTCACGTGGTTATTTGGGTAGGAAGGGAGACTTGTATCATTTGAAAAGGAACTAGGTATTTATAAGGAACATATTGGATGTCTTTGACTACCTACCTCAAGGTGTAATGTTTTGCGGCGTTTCAATGGTTGACTGATTGGTGATTGGCAGTATGCACTGCATTTACAAATTAACATTTGCATTTGATATTACGAATTCAGTTTGCTTTTCAGATGAACCTTGTATTTAACCCTCGCCCGTAAACGGCGATCTGCCACCTTCGCCCATGCAGGGGGGGGGGGGTTGGTGCGACCCCCCCCCTTGGCGTTTGAAAACGGAGCGTCGTAGAGCTTAGCGGAAAAGACCAACGGATTGCTCTCGCCGAGATCTCGCGATTGGTGGTATATTTTTTGGTCCTAGGTCAACATTTGACCTACTTTTGACCGGTCAAAGGTCAAATTTTCGGAAAAATAGACTTTTTTCAACTTTCCGCGGCGATTGCGGCAAAACGGTGGGAGATATTGACTTGAAACCTTCACTATCGTGTTCCTTGATCAATTCTCTATCGTTTGGTATGTATTTCGTTTCCCTAGCTCTAAAAATGGCGCGTTGGGAGCGCCGGAAGTCGGCAAGGTCACAGTCGGCGGCAGAAATTCGAAAAATCAAAATTTAAATTTTTCAAATCTGATTGTATTTTTGGATTTGGGAGGTCCATTTGCTCCCTATAGAAGCTAATATTGCCACCCCATTGAGGTGACAAGAATTAGCAAAATAGTGGTTCGGGCGCTTTTCAAAAATAGTACCGGACGCTGTTCCTCTTGTGACGTCATAGCTCCGTGACCTGACCTGACCCGGTCAAGTTTCTTATACCATATGATAGCCAATACTTGCCCCAACATGCATGGGAAGTTTCATCACGATCCATCAACCGATGTCCGTACCACCGGCAGGAAACCTCGGGCGTTGGCACTCAGTTTGTGAAAATCCGGCCGGAGGCTGTTCCCTTTGTGACGTCATAACTCCGTGACCTGACATGACCCGGTCAAATTTTTTTTTATCAAAAGATGCGCAAGGTTTGCTACATAAGGTACCCAAAATTTGGCGGCGCTGCGCGCCGCCGTTTTTGCACTATTTCCGAAAAGCCTCAGGGGGGGGGGGGGGTTGCACCAACCCCCCCCCCCTACATGGGCGAGGGTTAAGATCTGTCGAAATCCGCTCGCAATACACATTTACTTTATTCATTTATTTCTGTTTGTAAGGGAATATTGTTTTCAATTTTGTAGCCCTGACTGAGTAACTGAATGAACGATTTATTGACTGACTGATTCCCAGCTCACTGACGAATAACCCTGCCCCCCCCCCCCTATTCTCCACAGGCCAATCTGCTGGCATCGGGCGCCTCAGACTCCGAACTATACATCTGGGATCTGAACAGTCCCAGTACCCCTATGACACCGGGAGCCAAGGCACAACCCGCTGAAGACGTATCAGCGGTCACATGGAATAGACAGGTACGGTTTAACTACTGTTTGTTGACAGGCATGGTACTTTCCTGTGATATCAGCAAGAGAGTGGTTCTGGTTTACTTTGGTTCCTGTATGGTTTGGATGCGAACAGAAAGTTGTTTGTATGCACATGGTAAACTGGGTGAAAAGGGCAGTTTTATGATTATTCACGTGGAATCTTTGCCTTTCGGTTTGCTCCGAATCCGGCCAAAGTCTAGATGACAGTAATGAAAAAGGGTATTTAGCCACATTTTAATTTTACGTTGAAATGAGTCCGAATTCATGAGTCAGCGACTGTAGCCTCAAATTTTTTAATATCGCTATCACCATGTGGCACCTCGTATATCGTAAATTATTGCTTTTGTTCTTCCTCTGGGTTCTGCAACGCTGAAAGCTGTGCTTGGAACTCCAACACAGGGGTGGTGGAATGTAGAGCAGTCGACCTGCCTTACTGTCTAAACCTGCTTGATGTGTGTATGTTGCTGGGGGGAGGGAGAGGGGGCTGCCCGAATAACTGGTCCGCTATCGCGGATAAATCTTTCGATTGTTCGACTTCGGTGCTGCGTGTTTCCGCGAGTTTTTGAGCGGCACACGTCCGGTTGAGGCGTAGTACAAGTGCGATATGGTTTTAGAGATGATATGACTCTTAGCGTACGTTTGCATTTCTAGAGCAAGTCAGTTCGTTTGGTTCATCGGACGTTACCTACCGCCTAATACTTTATCCACAGCCGACTATGCAACTTGTCAAGCTAGAACAAGCTGTCAAGCTGTCAAACTAGCTAACAAGCTAGAACATTGAGCCGGAACACTGGTTCCAGCACCCAATTCAGCCACTATTTATGTAAAACATCTCGCCTACAAATATCGTTGCGAGTTGCAAGGTCCCTAAACCCAAATCTGCATCGAACATTGAACTAAGACTGTAGGCTTCAACTTGCGGTAGAACCACGCAACATTCAACCGTTGAACGAAAGCCAGCGCCCGACCCTTCAAAGACCATACACCAAACCCAGCCCGGCTTTCCTCATTCGCGTGCAAGACTGCTGTCATCGCCTCCATCAGTAGCCATATTTGGACAGTCTTATGTGACGTCACTGGCGGAGACTGTCCGTATTTTGAAGGGCGAGTCGCGTGGTGCAGTTGGCCTTTGTCGGATGCCACGAGGGTTTTTATAGTTGTTGTTGTTTTTTTAGGGGAGGGACATGGTATCGCTGTTGCGACATGGCTTCAGCGTGGTACCTAGGGGTATTTGTGAATTGCAACGTGGTTGAAACGTTTGCTGAGTCGGGAAATGATATGTTACAAATGTTAGAAGGTAAACCGGCACACATACCTGCGTTGTGTTTCAACTGGGAATAGATACGATTGCCATGGAAACAGATGTTTTGCTACCAATAAGACGCCTTTTGGGGCGGCGAACAGTTGAGCGGAATGGTAAATCCGGCAATTACCCAAATGGGATGAGAGACCTACAGCTGCGTTGTCCGGGCAACTTAGCTGATTTATAGTGGTTTACCGAATTTGAGCGCGATCGGCCCATCTGTTCTCGACCCGTGGAATTTGCCTTTTGCACGTGTGTACGTGCAAACTGAATCCCAATAGACTTGTACCAGGTTCTCAACAAGTCTTTTATCTGCTCACTAAGAAGTCTTCCAGTTACGTCACAATGTCACCGCATGGTGACTCCCTCCCTGATGCTCTCCCTGTATCGTACAGGCTCAGCACATTATGGCCTCTACGTTGACCTCTCGCTATGTTAGTCCCCTTCATTACGTCATAATAACACCCTTCTCACGTCCTTTATCTGTCTCTTTCGAACAGGTTCAGCACATAATGGCGTCTATATTCACCATGCTGTAGCAGTCCCCTTCATTACGTCACAATAGCACCCTTCTGACGTCATTTTTCTGTCTCTATCGAACAGGTTCAGCACATAATGGCGTCTACGTTCACCTCCCGCTGTGTGGTCTGGGACCTGAGGAAAAACGAACCCATCATCAAAGTCGGTGACGGTCAGGCCGGGGTAAGTGATAAATCGTCTTCGTGGGGCATAAAATGTTTATATTAAGTGTGGTATTTCAGTGTGAGTGTACTGATATATGTCGTATACAATTTGTTGATTCTGCCGTTTACCTTTGAATGTGTAATACCGGAATAACCAACGGCAACGGAGACAATGACGTTCGTGTTTTAATTTATTGTTTTGGATTGTTTTGGATTACCGTCTTATGCTTTGCCATATCTAGGTCTGAAATTATTCACATGTGACGAGAGCAGTTTTATTGGCTGGCTCACGTCTATAACCCGTCGTTTTTCTCAGATGAAGTGGAAAGTACGCAACCGTCTTTGAAAGGCTTCTTTTCTCCTCTGCCTCCTTTATTTTGGTTTTACAAACCCGATAATCCATCCGCTCCATTCACAGCTGAACTCAAATCTTGATATAATGGATCGCCTAATACACCGCTCTCCCCGATAAATCCACAGATCAAGTGTAAAGTGTTGCCTGGCACCTCGACTCCCACTCCTGATATAATGGACTGCACCACAACACACTCCGTCACCCACACACTCCGCCTAACTCACACACTCTGCCAACTGCCTAGCTCACACACTCCGCCTAACTCACACTCTGCCACTCCAATCCCCAGATGAAGTGTAAGGTGGTGGCCTGGCACCCGAACTCCCACTCTTGATATAATGGACTACACCACAACACACTCCGCCTAACTCAGTACACACTCCGCCTAACTCACACTCAGCCACACTCCCAATCCGCCACTCACACACTCCACCTAACTCACACACTCCGCCTAGCTCACACTCTACCACTCCAATCCACAGATGAAGTGTAAGGTGGTGGCCTGGCACCCCGAGGTAGCCACTCAGCTCGTCCTGGCCAGTGAGGACGACCACACGCCGGCCATACAGCTGTGGGATCTGCGTTTCGCCACGGCGCCGCTGAAAACTCTGCAGAGACATCAGAAGTGAGACGGGGGGAGGGGGTGGGTGGGGTCTGAAGGGTGGGGTGGGGTGTGAAGGGATGAGGAAATGAAGGGGGAGCGGGTGGGAAGCGAGTCGGAAGGGTGAAGGTGAAGAGAGCATGCAGATGAGCCATGAGAAGCGAAAATCTGTTGGTGGAAGGAAAATGTCAGATGACGATGCAAGCGTGGTCATTTTTAACTATAAGTGATGCAGGAGCAAACTTGGTGAATTAGCGAAGATGTAGTATGCAACAATTGCAGACTTAAATTGATTAAGAGTCCTTGGTCCTCGATCTGCACTCAATCAATTGGAACTTGAATGCGTAGATATTATCGCTTTATCTATGTACGTGTACATATTATGTACACGTATAAGAGCTCCTGTGTATTCATCGCTAATCTTTCCGCAGGAGTCAATGATTTCCTTTTTTGTGTACCAGGGGTATCCTGTCTCTGGCGTGGTGCCATCTGTCGTAGACCCCGTGTATCGCCAGTTCCCCGTTTGTCCGCCAGGGGTATGCTGTCCCTGTTGTGGCATCTATCGTAGACCCCTCTTTCGTAGACCTCCGCCGATGACCACTATAGTCCGGGGCCCTGTTTCACCGGTGATAGCAGCACGCTGTTATCAAATTGCGCGAGCTGACGTAAGGTGATGACGTCACACTAATGACGTTTCGTGTAATCCGTGAGCTTTTTCACAGCTGCGTTTGGAACAAAGTTGCTGTCTCGTTGAATGCGTTTGATACATTTGTTTGATCGCACGGCCGTGAAGATGTTAGCAGAAATATTTGATGACATCACACAGATTGACGACGTCATGGTTTGTTGGTGTTTCCATGGAAACCCAATTTGACACGTGTAATAGCAGCGTGCTGCTATCACCGGTGAAACAGGGCCCGGACGTCCAACCCCCCCCCCCCCCCTATCGTAGACCCCATGTATCACTAGTTCCCTGTTTGTCCACCAGGGGTAATCTGTCTGGCCTGGTGCCATCTATCGTAGACCCCGTGTATCACCATTTCCCCGTTTGTCCGCCAGGGGTATCCTGTCCTTGGCCTGGTGCCATCTATGGTAGACCCCCTGTATCACTAGTTCCCCGTCTGTCCGCCAGGGGTATCCTGTCTTTGGCCTGGTGCCATCTATTTGTAGACCCCAAGTATCACTAGTTTCCCGTTTCTTAGGTATCCTGTCCTTGTGGTGCCATCTATGGTAGACCCCATGTATCACTAGTTCCCCGTCTGTCCACCAGGGGTATCCTGTCCTTGTGGTGCCATCTATTATAGACCCCATGTATCACTAGTTCCCCGTTTGTCCGCCAGGGGTATCCTGTCTCTGGCCTGGTGCCAGCGCGACTCTCATCTGCTGCTCAGCGCGGGGAAAGACGACAAAATACTCTGCTGGGACCCGCACTCCGACGCACCGGGCGGAGAGGTGGTAAGTGTTCTCTTTTAGCTCTCTGAGGAGATGGTAAGTGTCCTCTGAGTTCTTGTGTGTCAGTGTCTCTTCAGCTTTGTCCAGAAGGTTGAGAGTTCTTACTCGAATATGTAATCAACTAACTTCGTGATACATCATCCCCCGGGTCTTTCATGCTTCATTGTTGATTTTTTCATTTGATCGATAAGTAACATTTTTCAAAGTTTCTTATACAATCAGCGTGTCTGCTACCCCAAACATTCAAACCGTCTGCACAATTTTGAATTTCGAAATTAATTCTCCCCTCTATCCATTCGTTTTTCATAGCTTGGCTGCTGGCTCGTCATAGGCGCCAGGGCAGCTTCAATAAAATGTCAATATTGCCAACTTCTTCACGTCCTTATGTCGCCATTTCTTCACCAATCACCCTCCCCCCCCCCCGCCCCGACAGGTGGCCGAGCTGTCAGCGTCCCCTCAGTGGAACTTCTCGGTCGAGTGGTGCCCCCGGAACCCGGCACTGATCGCCGCCTCCAGCTTTGACGGGCATGTGTCCGTGTACAATGTGATGGGCAAGGTGGAGGAACCGCTGGCGTCGCCAACATCGGCGGTACGTAGAGTTTAATTAGCCATGGAGAGATATGATATACTAAGACGTTTTACAGAGGTAGATATGTTTTGTACGTTGAACGGATGGGAGGGTGAGGGGGGGGGGGGGGTAATGGTTTAGTTAACGTTTTAAGCAGTCAACGTAGACATTTGGTACGTTTTATGTAGTCTGTTTGTTCTATAGCTAGACATCCTAGAGAACATATTTTATGTCGATAATATCGACGAAAAATATGTTCAAAAAATGTCTAGCTATAATATTATTATACATAGCCATTTTGTGGAGATATTTTACTGAGACGTTTATTTAACACATAGTGATCAGGTTGTATAGAGACATGAATATCTTTGCTTGATAGGATTGCCAAAATATAAAGAAAGCTCCTCATATGCTGCTTTCCCATCATCCAATGCATCAATATTTACCATTATTGTTGTTTCAACAAATGGTGCCAACCTCTGCCAATGTGTTTAACTAGCAAACTACCAAGCGTCGCTAGTCTAACACCCTCCCCCCCTGTCCCGTACAGCTGGCTGACTCATTTCCGGACATGGCCGGAGTGGCTGCCGCACTGCCCACGGTCCAGCGTCGGACATCCATACCGCTGACACGGCCCCCGCGGTGGATGAAACGGCCATGTGGGGCCACCTTCGGGGTGAGTGCTGATTACTGAATGGGGATGGGGATGACGAATTGGTGTGACAGGGTGTGAGGCTAGATCGCACCTTTTTCATTTTTACGAGCTCAGTCTTCCTATGTAAAAAATCACATGTCGAATCCCGGGCTGTACTACACGAAAAGAGATAAACGAGTCGAGCAAAGAAGAATTGTGACTTAGGACCGTTCTCAAAGAAAGCTGGGACCCTAAGAGGCCCAGAAATCTCAACTGCTCGGCATATTCCAGTCTCGGACACTCAGCTGGAATTATTTCCCACTTCGGATTCCATACACTTTTGTCATGCATTTGACTATAACTGCCGCTATGTCTCCCCTATTCGACGGTTGGCTGATATAATTTTGCCACATCATTTTGCGCACGACAGACGGAGCACGGCCTTCACCGGCTATAGCTTTTTTCTCTGTCTCTGTCTCGGTCTTCTTTTATGGCTGACTATGACTGTGTCTCTCCTTTTTCCGCAGTTCGGCGGTCGTCTAATATCGTTCTGTTGCTCTCCCACCAAATAAAACGGAGGCAGTCAGCTGTACCGTACCTTCAACCCCAACTATTGTCCCTTCTTCTGTTTCTGTGACGGTGACTATGACTTTATCTCGTTCTCCGGCAGTTCGGCGGCCGGTTGGTGTCGTTTTGCCACACTCCGACCACGGACGGCGGCCGGCCGACCCGACAGGTGGAAATACACCAGGTGGTGACGGAGCCAGAGCTGGTGCAGCGGTCACAGGCCTTCCAGCAGGTTAGTAGAGAGGTCACAGGGAGGTCAGTAGAGGTCACAGGAAGGTCAGTAGAGGTCACAGCCCTCCATCAGGTGGTGACGGAGCCAGAGCTGGTGCAGCGGTCACAGGCCTTCCAGCAGGTCAGTAGAGACTAGAGAGGTCATATAGAGGTCAGTAGAGGTCACAGATCTTCCAGCAGGTCAGCAGGGGTCAAGGGGAGGTCAGAGATTATATACAGGTCACAGGTCTTCCAGAGGGTCAGTACAGGTCAAAATAGAGGTCAGGAGATATCAAAGAGAGGTCACACTAGGGAGGCTTTTAGAGGTCAGGGAGATTAGTAGGTAGCTCGGTCACAGGGGGGGGGGGTCAATACAAGTCATACGTTTGCTGTAAAGAAGATCACAGGGCCTTTCAGCTGGTCAGTATCGTTACCAGCCTTATTGCAGCATAGTAGTCAGGTCACAAGTTAAACAACAGCTAGCTCAGTTGAGGTTTATCATGGACAAGCCGGCAGGCTATACGTCTCTTTGAGTGATCAAGGATGTCACAATTTTTCCGCCAGATCATGATCTAAAAGTCAACTGCCTCAGCGTTCTTGTAAAGATATGCCTAATCTGTCAGATGTCGCCAATGAACTCACGTGTCTAACCATCGAAATATAATAAACAATCAAATAAATCGAATAAAATCCAATTACATAAACTTAAAATCGATTTAAATAAACAACCGAAACAGCTGCCTTCTAACCAATACTACCCCCCCCCCCCCATTCAATTCACAGGTTCTCATGACTGACGGCCTGCCGGGCTTCTGTACGGAGCGGGCCGAGTCTGCTGCTGAACCCGACCGTCCCGTGTGGAGGTTTCTGGCGGCCAGGTTCAGCTCCGACCCGCGCGGGGAGTTACTCAGACTGCTGGGCTATCAGAGCCGACCCGAGAATGGAGGAGAGGGGGAGAATGGTGCAGATGATCAGGCGATGCAGGTGAGAGAGAGAGAGAGAGAGAGAGAGAGAGAGAGAGAGAGAGAGAGAGAGAGGGAGAGAGGGAGAGAGAGAGAGAGAGAGAGAGAGAGAGAGAGAGAGAGAGAGAGAGAGAGAGAGAGAGAGAAAGAGAGAGAGAGGGAGAGAGGGAGAGAGCTGAGGGAGAGAGAGGGAGAGAGAGGGAGAGAGAGGGAGAGAGGGAGAGAGGGAGAGAGGGGAGGGAGAGAGGGAGAGAGGGAGGGAGAGGAGGGAGGGAGGAAGTCTAATTATAGCCTGGCAAACCTAATAAAGCGCAACCACCATTGATGCACGTTTTGATGTTGAATAAAATATATTGAAAAATATTTCTCTCACGACCTTTTACACGAATTTTCTTCGAACCATAGTACACGTCCAGTTATCAAAAGACGTGGCAAAATGATTCAGGAGCTTTAGCTCCGTTCTTTCTTAGGTTTGCCAGACTGTAGGTCTACCTAACTCGTCAGGCAAAGGGCAACGGAAACGTCGAGGGGACGATTTGAATCATATACATTGAGAGGAGAAGGAGGTAAATGTAAAATGGGACGTGGAGGTAGGCAGGTTGAAAATAGGAGGAGAGGAAATAAAAGGGAGCCAGAACTAAAAATGGTATATATAAATGTGTGAAACATAGGCATACATGGGCATGATTACTCAGCAGTATTCGAAGTGTTGCAAGATGCACAATCCAGGGCCCAGTTTCGCCAAGTGCGGGAAACTCAATTTGGGGTAAATTACCAAACTACCCCACTACATAATTACAAACATTTGGCCCTTTTGTAAGAAAAAATGGGCCTTGGTGAGATTGGGCTCAAGTGCGGTAAACTCAATTTTTGGGTAGTTTTTTTTCTGTAATTAAGTAGTGGGGTAGTTTGGTAGTATACCCCAAATTGAGTTTACCGCACTTAGTGCGGTAAACACTTAGCGAAACTGGGCCCAGTATTCATATTAGTTTTCCTTGCTATATTTCAAACTGATGCTGACCCCACCCCCTCTCTGTTCAGGAGCCACCGGCGGCTGAGAGTGGTGAGGACGCGTTTGAGGCCATATCCCGATCACAGACTTCCACCAGCGACTCGCCGACTGCCGAGCCTGAGGAACTATTTGACATACCCGCTGGTAAGTTACAGAGTGGAAAAGTCCGCATCGGTGAACGAATTCAATATCTCATCATTTGACTTCTCATCATTTGATGTGTGTCTTTTTGAATATATTTGAATGCATTTGTAATAATTTGGTTTATTATTTACATCATCATCCAACCTGTCATGGATACTCAACATTTGACTTCGCATTTTTAATTCAACTAAGATCCTTCCTATGCGTTACGCATTACCCCGTTTCTTCCTGGCGTCTCTTCGCGCCCTTTCTTCAATCTCTTCTTACTCCCTGTTCTGCCGTTGTACTTCCACATCTATATCACTTCGTCTTACCCTTTTGATACCCCTGCTCTCATTTATCCAGGGTTCACCCATTATCAGCCATAGTTTCCCATCCTTTCCTAAAATTCACCCATTTTAGCAACCGAACCTAGCCTAGCCTAACCTAACCTAACCTAACTTAATCTAACCTAAAGTCAATAGACTTCGGCCTCCAAAGATTACCCATTTCCACTTCTCAGTTCCCTAACACACCCATTCTCACGTCTCCCTTCACACCCATTCTCAGTTCTCACACCTTTCTCACCTCACCTACCCTCCCCCCTCCCCCTTCTCACCCCCCCTTCCCCCCCCGCAGGTGACGACACAGACGGTCAGGTCTCGCAGGCCATTCTCCGTGGAGATATGACGGAGGCCGTTGAACGCTGTCTCCAATCGGAGAGGACCGCCGATGCGCTCATCATTGCCATGGCAACGTCCCAGGAACTCTACGAGAGCACGCGCGCCAAATATCTGGAGGTGGGTTGGGTGGAGGTTTTGGCGGGAGGAGGATGGCGGGCAAAGGTTAGAGAAGTGTATTCCTCATTCGCAGCCGTAATCAAAACGCAAAGTGGAGGCTAAAACCTGGCGGCGAATGGTTTCGCTGTTTTCTTATCATAAACTCAATATGATATCGGTACTTATGATTTCATATCAAATCAACCCAGTTTTATTTTACTCCCAGTCTCCTCAGTACAAAACAGGTATACCCGGCATTAACAGGGTCACGTCTTTCTCGTGACTTGGAAAATCTCTGCGGTATAAAGGCAAACCCCATTATGTTCGGTTGACCTCTGACCTGAGGGAATGGCCTCTGACATAATGGTTTTTGCCTTTGCACGGCAGAACTATCATCCATGCTCATTTCTCCCCTTTCGCATGCTTCTTCGTTGGATAGATTGACCTCCCCTCGACTCCTTTTCCCAGTAAATCAATATTGTATTCCCCGTTTACGTCCCTCGGCCCTGAGCCTCCTGCCTCCTCCTGTCCCTAAAACCCTAATAAACAAACACACTCCTCTCGTTCATAAAAGCGGACCTCCCCCAATTATCCCCGCCCTCCGTTCCGTCGTTTCCATCCTCCGTATACTGAAATCCTTCTCCTCCACGCCGCCACCCCCTCCGGGCTGGACAGGCACTTTTATCTCATGCGGGCTGCTCCCTTGGAGCGGCACCGCTGCTCCCGAGGGAGCGCACCCCGTAGCCGGGTGCAGTGAGTGCTTTGGGGCTGGGTGGCCTGTCCTCTGGACGGGCTCAGCCCCGGTGACTTACTAGGGTGCCTGCCCAGACCAATGTCTCCCCCTATATCCTATCATCCTCCCGGCTCTGAAATGGTCTTGTCAGACCGAAAGGGCCTAACCCAACACAAAAAATTATCCCCTCGTTCTACCGCCAGCAGCTATGAAGTCAGACCTCTCAAATCCCAATTAACGTCCCTCCCCATTCTCTTTCTCCGCAGTCTATGAAGACGGATTTGTCTCGTCTCATCTCTGCTCTCGTCTCTCGCGACTGGAGTACCGTGGTCGGACGGTGTGACCCTGGCTCATGGAGAGAAGCGCTGGTAGCTGTGCTCACGCACGCGCCGCCCGAACAGGTGGCGCCGCTCTGCGGTAAGTTGGAGACCTAGTGGTTAGTGTGGCTGCTAACAGAGGCGCTGGTGGCAGTGCTAACGCGCTCCGCCCGCCAGGTAGCGCGCTACTCCGCTATTTGGTTTCATCCGGAGCGCTGTTCGGTCGCTGTTTTTCATCATCAACATGCTGTCGGTTTTCCCACATAAGGAAGTTAAAGGCTGGTGTTTCTTGGCCTCTCATTGGTCAAATACATAGGCCACTTAAATTTGACCAATGAGGAGCCAAGAAATAGCAGCAGATAAAAAAGAAAAAAAAAAAACTGCGACCGAACGGAGCCCTGAATGGATTGTTTGCAGCGCGCACTTTGGTTTTCTGTTGTGATGTTGTCATCTATAGCAACTATAGCATCGTAAAAGTAATCGTAACAAAATAAATTCATTTGAATGCATTACAACAAAAATAAATTTAATGTAAATGCAGTACCTGTAATATTTTTATGTTCGTTTGAAAATCTCTAAAAAAGCGATCAACACTTAACCGTATCTAACGAAATAACCTATCTCCAGTACTAACCGATCTTTCATTTCATATGTAGAATGGGTTGATTCATTAGCAAGACGAATCTACGAACGAAGTATCAGGTCAGGTATGAGAGCACAGTGACATGGACTTATCTGACCAGTCGATCGTACTCATGAATGATGAGAATGGTAGAACGAGC